GGTTCAAACCCACCAGCCACTCCTCGGAAGGAAGGTTGGGCAATCCTACTGCCCTAGTGATACTGCCTTGGAAACCCAAGGAGGGGTTACTATGAGTCGAATCAACTCGACAGCAGTTTTTTTTTTTTTCAACCCAATTTTTATGGCATCCACATAGCTTCATCTGTCAGTAATGAACACAGAATGATTATCAAGTGTGGCACAATCCTCCGTATATAGACATAAATGAAGGCTGTACATTTTCCTAAGTCTCAAGTTGTCCAATTCTTTGTGGAGCCCTTCCTTATAACTGCTGTCTCCGGTGATCTCACCAGTTACTGAATTTTAATTTGATTTGTGGTGAGGACCACAAGTCATATTTTATACTCATTTCAGGTATTCAAGGATGGTTCCAAAATAGACTAGAGTTCTCAGGGACAAGTTATCTTTAAATCAATGTAGAAAGGGTGTCAACGAAGACAACTCACTTCCTCAACTTATCAAAATCACCATCACAAATATAATGAAAGGATTTAGACATCATTAACTGATAGCTTTAGAAAATCAGGTTTGATTTATGAAGCAAGTCAAATGTGTTTTCCAGAAGCCACTTGTCTGCACACTAACAGAAAACCAGGGTTGAGCCTTCTTCATAACCACAATGCCTTCCAAGTGGTAGGCAGGCATAAACTATCTGAGATTCAGAAGGCTTCCATTCCTTTCTCCTTCCCACATTAATCTACCAGCTTTTGTTCAAGGGGATTCTCAGGCTTGCTCAAATTACCTGCCAGCCTTTGATGGTACACAGGGTTGGAGGAGTTACCAATGGATTATGGCAGAAAAAGAGAAAAATCAGAGAACCTAACAAAATAAGAAGGCATATATTTTCACAGTGCAGCAAAGTCTAAATGTTCCTGTTCATCAAAGGCTGAGTTTGTAACAATTAGAAAAATATAGGCATCCAGTAAGGGAATTGGCTCAATAAAGACAAATATAGCCAGATACCAGTGAAATTTACACAGATCTATTTCTACTAAAATTTAAAAGATGTCCACCCTCCAGTGCTAGGAGAAAAATATTACAGAATGGTATGCACAGTACAGTTGCATTTTTTATTAAAACAAGTATTGTGGTTTGAGTGAAAGTTTACAGAGCAAATTAGTTTTCCATTCAACAATTTATACATTTTTTGTTTCTTATTATTTGCAATCCCTTCGATGTTAACAGCACTCATCTCATTTCCTTCTGTCCTCCTTTCCCACCCTCAGAGCCTTGTTTTTGGGCAAAAGCTGCTCTTTTGGTTTCTTATGGTTGATTGTTCTGAGGATTATATGTTCCTCAGAGGGATTACTGTTTGCTTTATAACCCTGTCTATTGTCAGAAGGGACCATCCCCTGGAGAAGGATATCCTGCTTGGTAAGGTTGAGGGTCAGCGGAGAAGGGTTAGACCCTCAATAAGATGGACTGACACAGTGACTGTGATGATGGGCCCAAGCACAGCAAAGATTGTGAGGATGGCGCGGACTGAGCAGGTTGGTTCTGTTGTACCTAGGGTTGCTGTGAGGTGGGGCTGACTTGATGGTACCTACAACTGTTAGGCTGAGGTGGTATCTGGGCTGGCAAGCACCACCACAGTCATCTGCTGGTCCTGTGGTTGTGGTTCTCATGCTGGTATCGCTGTTGACATTTCTGTCATCTTTGGTGTTAAAGCACTCTCTTTTGGGTCTAGGAGGTTCTCAATGCAGGGATTCTGGGTCCAAAGAATACAGTCTGCTTCAGGTTCCCCTTGACGGTAGTGAGGTCTCCCTTAACCATTGTGAGGATTAGCCTTTATATTCAATTTCAGAGCATGGCCCTCTCAGCCAGACCACAAACTGACCAGTCCCCTAGGCAGACCAACAGAGTAATTTCTGCAAGGTCATGTAACCCACCTGGGTGGTTTTACGTACCATATTTGCATAGTATATTGACCAATTCTGTGCGTGACTGTGGCCCAGCCAATCACTGTGGCAAAATTATAAACCCAAGGCCAGAAAGTCCACATACAAGAGAAACTCACTGTGCCACAGGTCCAAATAGTTCCTTTTCCTTTTTCATTTTAACGCATATTAATACTACTTCTCACCAGCTTAATAAATGAAACAGTCACTCAGCTTAGTTTCAAATAAATGAAAATATCTAAACTCTTTTTGAGAAAAAAAAAAAAAAAAGGTTCTTCCCAAAAGCCAGAATTCTACCAACAGAATGGATTACATAAGACTAAAAGTTAACAAACTGGTAAAAAGGAAAGGGGTGGGAGGAGGGACGAAACCCCCTTTGAAATGAGGAAACAATCCATTTATTAGGGGAGTATCGGCCTTCTAACGAGTGCAAAGAAGGAGATTAAACTACCTTTTATTTTCTATTAAAAAAACCTTGAAAGGCATATTGCCAAAGAAACTCAAGTCAATATAAACCTTTATATACTGGGCTGCCAAACTTCACTTTTAGACAGTATATTAATTATGTAGTCAATACCATGGGTTTCATTAGTGTATTAAATACCACGATCGATATTATTTATACTTTGCAAAGATAGGCCACTCAGAAAAAAAAAAAAATGTGTGTGTAGGGGATTGTTGACCCTGCAGTTCAAAAAACGTCAGAACGGCACACTGGAGATTAGCTAGGCTTTAATGGAAAGCATAAAACATGGAAAATATGGGCAGGAATCAGATTTATTTTTTTTTCCAGTCTCTTTCACAATGAGGCTGGAGGGAATTCAAGAACCATTTAAAATAAAGGCGAAATGATTAGATTTTCTTCCTAATTGCTTAATGTTGATGTCATGGTGTACACAAGTAAACATTGATCTACGAGTGAAAGATGAGAAATAGAACAACGTGAACAGTCTTTCGAGGTAAACTATATCCAAGAGAATTCTAAGAACTGTGGGCCAGAATCTATTTAGGCAATCCTCAGGGACCTCAATCTCTTAAAAGCATAGCTATGGAGCCAATTTCTGAGGCTCTTCTCCTGGTGATCTAATTTTTCTCAGGGAAATGTTACAAATCCTCTCTAGAGAGAGCCCTCCTCCCCTCCAACACTCCCCCTGGATTTCTAATCACATCCTTGTAGACAGGCTGGTTTTGTCACACTGGTCATTAGAAAGAGCAGTGGCCAGTACAATGTTCTCTAGATGCGTCACGGTAACACTAGGAGTTAGTGCTCCTCCCTGGGAGACAAGACAGAATGCTGGGAATAGTGGATATAAAAGACTGGTTATTGGACCAAAAGCTAGATTACCACTTTCAACCCACAATTTGTCAATCCAGAGTAGTGTGGGAGCCCATAATTTTCTAGTCAGTCCTTTATAAAAACAAAGTCAGATTCGAAAGATCTTCCATAAAAAACTGTGAGGCCTCAGCCAGAGAACCAAGTATAACCCAAAGATCATCTTCTGAGACTAGACAAGGGTAAGAAAGAACAGGTCTCAACAACTAGTGGCCCCTCTCCATGTCTGCTCTCAGGAATGTGAGCCTTCCTGCCTAGAGCAGGTCTCTTCCAAAAAGAGACAGAGAGTGTGAAACAGGCAGGATCACGTCCCTTTACAACTGCACAAAGAGCTTCCATAAGCTGCATCTGCACCAATTAGAAGCCAGGTCCTCCAGCTGCAGCCTCCCGCTGCAACACTGCCTGGCCACTCGGAGAGATGTGCAGCCAGTGCCAAGCTGTGGACTGCAGCAACCCGATAGATAATTAATATGATTAGGAACACACAGAGCAAGCATGCTCTTGCTGACTGAAAAGCCCAGTAGCATAATTACTGTTTTCTTACTAGCTCACTGTCTGTACACATTTCAAAGCCTGGTTGGTGTCAGACTGCTGTGTAAACATCAATAAAATCCCCAAGTACCAGATCATCAGCATTCTTGGGCACAATGGCTGGGCTTTAATGTTTTCGTCCTTTTAAAGATGCATTTCAGGGATGCAAACATTAGGAAGAATGATCTCCATGCCTTGGACTAATCTTCGAGTTTGTAATGAGTTAACATCTCCCCCAAGTGAACATTTATTATGAAGGCTAATTAATTGCTTTCCAGTTACAAGAACCCTTTGCATTCAAAGAAAGTAGGATTCACAAGCACAGAATATACTGTTTATTAAAACAAAGCAAGGGAAACAAAGGGCTTCTCCCTTCAAAATCCTTTCTATTTAACATACCTTTAATCAAGAAATGAAACATACAAATGCAAGAAATATGTACAGGTAGTAAAAGAGTGCATTCACGAAGCCAAAATGCAGCCTTAATTGAAGTGAAAACTAAAGCAATGCTTTGTAGTTGCCTGGATTTCCCTAGGGGACAGCAAGTCAATGCTTATCAGCCTTCCTCAGAAGAGACAATTTTGATTAATATCAGACCCATCTGACTCCGTCTATTAAACCCTGAAGGAAGGATATTCTGATATTCTTCAGATATAAGAGATATGTCTTTGATTAATAATTCTACCATATTGCCATTCCGAGCATTAACAACTATGTGGCACCTCCACAGAGAGCGAGCCTTTGAATTCTAGGAAGACACACTTACTCAATTATCCAGCTTCCACACAACCACTTCTCAGCTCTCTCCCGCTAGAAGGAACCCAAGTTGCGAAGGTGTCACCACTGGAGAAGTAAAATCCTAGTTACATAATTTATTTCACTACCTGTAGATTTTGGGGTCAATTACTTGCGACACAATTCTCGCTTTTTAAAAGATAACAGAAAATAAAGCTGACAAAAGCCTGGGCGTGGCTGGTACTACACCACCTACTAACTGACCCCCTAGGTCTGACAAGGTTTGATGCCAGACATCTGGGCATACTTTTCTTTGCCCACCAATGGGTCCCAAGATGCACGTCATAAAGGCTCCACCATAAAGAGGCTCTCTGCACTGTGTAGCTAATATAGAACTGTCACACAGGGGGTTGGGAAGAAATCAATTTCCGTTCTGCTCTTTATTTTCAAACTTCTGCCCAATCAGTGCTGCCGTCCTCACGTTACTGCATGGCGTGCTTCCTGATGCTCCCGATCAGCCTTCTGCCATATTCTCTGTGGTCCACAGGCTTCACGTCCATCACCGAGGCCTTAATTCGAGACTCATCCTTTGAAAAGAGAAAAGCAGTTTGTGATCGACTAGAAAGCCCTGGCATGGAGCAATGGTGATAACCCCCTTTGCTTCAGTGGCTTCAATGATCCCAGCAGGAGAAAACACAGAGATGTGCTGGATGCAGAGTTCAGTGATTCCAATAAAGAAAAAAGCCTGAGTGAGCATCAAGTCTAAATTTCTGGGCCTGGGAGAGTAAATGGAAGCCTCCCTTTGACACAGATTCTTCTCATGCTTTCTGCTTGCTCCCAAACACTCAGAAATCTAGACTCTAAATGGGATGGACCTTAGACAGCTGATCTAGTTCAACTTACTCTCTTTACAGAGGTGGAAAGAAGGGCCCAGGGAAGGTAAGTGTCTTGCCTAAAACCACACAGGGAGTTCTGAGAGTGGAGCTTTCTTTTCAAGAAAAGCTGCGTGTAGCATCAAAGAAAAAGCACTCGAGGCAGAGAAGACCTGGTGTGGCTCCTGTCTCAGCTCAGGGTGAGTCAATCTTTCTGCACTGTACTGTCCCTGTCCATATGATGAGGTGCCTGAATGACACTTCAAGTCCCTTCCTGGCTCCCACTCCCCAATACTGTTATCACACTGACATTGTTGGCCCTTATCTCATTTAATGCTTTGAAAAACTAACACATCTATCAGCAAGTATTACAGTTAAGGCCTAATAATCAAAAAACAAAATGAGTACACCCTGCAACAGAAACGAGGGTGTTTTCAGAAAGCTCCCTCATCACTGGTTCATTTACGTCCAGGCATTGGCTAGAGCCTGCAGAGTCAGAAAGGGGTGATGCCCAGAAAAGGTGCAAAGTCTAGGTGATGGCTTCTTGCAGTTTATCACACTCTGTGCACATATGGTGGTATTCATAAGCTTCCTTAAGAGCAAAGCTCTGAGGTTGGACTGCCTGGGTTGGAATCTTATTTCTGTCACTTGCTAGCACATGACTTAACTTATTCTCTGTAGGTCTATGTTCTTTCATTGGTAAAATGGAGGTTAATAATAATTCCTGTATGTAGGGTTACTGTAAAGATCAAGTGAGATGATGCATTTAAAGGGCTTGGAACAGTGTCTGGCAGGTAAGTGCTCAGTAAATGCTACTTTATTATGACTGTATTTTATGGGCAATTTAAGGAATTTTCAAGGTAATTTTAGCTACATGTGGTCTTTGCTTCATCTACTGATTTTAGAACCTTACCCTCCTGGAAGATTAAATCCAAAAGATTTAATTTTTGTCAGAACACAGATATATTTCAGGAAAAAAAAAGAACATGTATTTTTTTTCCCTCCCCTTGGACAAGACACTTCACTCTTCAAGTCGGCTTCCTCATCTAAAAGTGGGACAATAATAGTACCTCAGTGCTGGGAAGATTCACTGAGTGATGAACACAAGGTGTGTGGATTGGGTCTGGCACATACAAGCAACTAACTGCCAGCCATCACTGTTGCCAAGTTGTTGGCAGGTGACAAACAGCAATCTCCCACTGCCAACCCCCGGCACCCCGGGCAACCTTACTTACATTGTAGTTCTCTAGTTTGACTCTGATCTTGAATGTGAAAGACCGGAAGTTGGCATTCTGGAAAGCTTCCTCAAACGCCTGCTCATTCTGCAGAAACAAACACAAACCTGAGACACGGAAACGACTGGCCCATGTGAACTCTCTCTGATACTTTTTTTTTTTTTTT